GTCGCGTATATATTTACCTGTCCTTGCCGCCACGCTGTCAGTACTTGCGGTCAGCCCCACGGTCCCACCACGGGTTTCGCCACCGCTTAAGAGAACACAATAGGTAAATCAGTCCGAACTGGCTTCTTAATCGGCCAAAAGAATTCCAAACAACACTCACACCCTTTTCCCCAACGCTGTGGATCCTTTAATTCCTTATAACGAGCGGTTAAAAGCCTGAATTTAAACAAGACAACAGCCGGAAACCTCATTGTTCGCCCATTACAATTTGCCGCACCACGAACACCCACTTCCATTAATTAGCTATATTTCTGTGTGTTTTCTACACCTTTTTAGGTATACTCACGTTTGTATTATGCTTATGTGTCTGTTTGTGTTCAATTTAGAGTAAGATCCACATGTTTTTGTATTTGTAATGCCAGACTGCCTTTACGTTTGGTTTCCATTCTATAGAGCTGACAATGAAAGCTGCGAAATTAAATTATTTACGTCCGTGAAATTATATGGAATTATATGCGTCCTTGTTAGTCTACCTCTTTGTTCTTACGATACGATGCCTTAGCGTCAAACCTAGAACTTAATATATATGTGTGTGTGTGTGTGTGTGTGTGTGTGTGTATGAATATATATATATATATATATATATATATATATATATATATATATATATATATATATATGAATATATATGTGTGTGTGTGTGTATACAGAAAACATAACACACATACACACACATATTTGTGTATCTCTGTGCAGTATTTGTGCGCATGTGTACATACAGAGATAAAGGTCGTGGGAGAGAGATAAATATACCCGTAAACATCCTGCCCAGCGACCGATCTCCGCCAGAGCTCCGGAAGCGAGCCGGCGCTAAGTTCTCTCCAGAGCGAAAACATGTCTGCGGTCCCTCTGCGCTTCCGTTCACAATCGCTTAAAGAACAACAACAAAAAAAAAAAAAAAAAAAAAAAAAAAAAAAAAAAAAATCGAAAAAAAGAGATATAATAAAATAAATAAATAATAATAATAATAATAATAATAATAATAATAATAATAATAATAATAATAATAATAATAATAATAATAAAAGAGATGAATAAAGTCGACTCATCATCGCGCGAGACACGAATATTAATGTAGGCATTTTTTAAGCGAATAAATCATTTTCGAACCCGGACATTGCAAACGCACACGGAAGGATATAGCAAGGGCGTTTTAGGATATTGCAATGACATATCCTACTTTGCAAGCGCGCATGTTTGGCAAGCCATACTATCCTCCCCGGAATGTTGCATCATCTTGGCCTAAACGCAGCTGACATTGCGATCCAGACTTGCAACTTCCGTGGCCATCGGCGCTGCGTTAATACTATTATATTATTATTGTTATCATCATTATTGTTAGTATTGTTGTTGTTATTATCATTATCATCTTTATTATTATTAATAATGATAATAATCGTTATGATTATTGCTATTATTATGATGTTATTATTACTTTTATTATAACCATTATCATTATTATCATTATTGTTATCATCATTATTGTTAGTATTGTTGTTGTTATCATTATCGTCTTTATTATTATTGTGAATGATAATAATCTTTATGATTATTGTTATTATTATGATTATTGTTATCATTGTTATTATTACTTTTATCATAACCATTATCATTATTATTATTATCATTTTCATTATTATATGACATGATAATGAAAATGATATTATATGATAATGAAAATGATTATAAGAATATTGATAATGATATTACTAATGATAATAACAATAATAATGAATGTAATAACAAAAACTACAACAATAATGATGATGATAATAATATAAATTATAAGGATGATAATAATCATATTCATAATACTAACGATAATGATAAAAATGATAATGATAATAATGATAACAATAATGATAATAATGATGATAATAATAATAAAAGCAACAAAGCAATAAAACAACAAAATGACACAACAACAACAACAGTGATTTAGAGTAGTAATGATAAGAATAGTAATATAGTAATAGTGATGGTAATGATAATAACAACAACAGTGGCAATAATATGAGTGATAATAATCATAACAACAACAACAATAAATGACATAATTAAAAATAACAGCACGGACAATAATGATAATGATAATAATAATGATAGTGATAATAATAATAGTAATTATAATTGTTATCATTATTATCATTACTATTAATATAATAACTAAAATCACTCAAAGAGCATATACCTCCGTCAAGACAATAGGGTCACTATAATGCAATAAAAGAATTAAATTAAACAAATAATAATGATAATAATAATAATAGTAATCATATTTTAAGCGCCAGGAGGTTTAAGTAGTCCCTATCACACAATACTAATGAATCCTTTAAAGAAAAAATCCTGGACCATTAGCCCAACTTAGATGCCATTAGATTTTAATGGTGATTAGGATTATGATCCAGATCCGAGAATTTAGGATTAAAGGATTCATTGGCATTGCGAGATAAAAAACACGGACGTCACTTTTACTTGAGAAAGGGTGATTTTAATGTAATTCTTCGTGTGAATATTTTTTATTGCATCTGTGACCCTATTGCCTTGGCGGAGGTATGCGACTTTTGGGTGCTTCTAGTTATAACGTCATTATCATTATTTTCATGATTATTGTTACTTTTATGTCATTATTCTCATTGTCATCATTACTATTGTTATCATTGTTATCATTACTATTGCTATTTTTTATGTTATTATCAATGTTGTTATTATTACTGTCATTATCAATTTCAAAACAACCATTGATTGTTATATTCTTTCATTATCATTACATCATTAGCACTGTCATCATGATCATTATTAATATTGTTGTCATTGCTATCATCACTAATATAATTACCGTTTTGCGGTCATTACCTCCGCCAAGGTGATGCTTTTACTAGCGTTAGTTAATTATTAAGTTTGTTTGTTTGTGTGTGTTTTTTTTTTGATTTTTTTAGTTAAATTCTTTTAAATTTTATTCATGATCCGGATCCAGGATTTAAAAAATAATTGCATTAGTTAACCCTATAAACAGGGGTAACTATTATTATTATTATCTTTATTACCTTTGCCAAGGAGTTTATGTTTACGGACGTCACGGATGTACTTGAGAAAGAGTGGATTTTAATGTAATTCTTAAAGTGTAAATACTTCTATTGTATTAGGGAGCCTATTGTCTTGGCGGAGGTATGCGCTCTATGAATGCTTCTAGTTATAATTGTTTTCTTTTTAATGTGTGTGTATGTGTGTGTGTGTGTGTGTGTGTGTGTGTGTGTGTGTGTGTGTGTGTGTGTGTGTGTGTGTGTGTGTGTTTTGTGCGTGCGTGCGTATGTGTGTTACTTATTACCAATTTATTATGTGTGTTACTTAATACCAATTTATTATGTGTGTTACTTATTAAAATTTATTATGTGTTACTTATTACCAATTTATTATGTGTGTTACTTATTACCAATTTATTATGTGTTACTTATTACCAATTCATTATGTGTGTTACTTATTACCAATTTATTATATCTTTTTACGAGCCACGTTCTTCCTGGTCTCCGTGACTGCATAACAGGAAGAACATCGGAGGAGGAACAATGGGCGAGGAGATAAGGAGATAGCACGATAAAGGACCGGAAATAACCATAGACCGAGAAGAGAAACCTGTTTTGCGTTTTTTGACCGGCTGATGATAAGATTTGGAGAGTGATAAGAGTAACAGAATAGTGAAGTGTGATGAAAATGATGATAATGATAGTACTGTTGATGAATAGGGTAGGTGGGTTTCTTCTGAAGCACAGTCTTGATGCTATAAGTCCTAATCACTGAGGTCCTAATCACTAGGGCCCTAATCATTCACATCCTAATCACTCGCGTCCTAATTCCTGAAGTTCCAAGCCCTCGTGTCCTAATCATTCGCGTCCTAATCCAGGGTACCTAATCACTGGGGGGGTCCTAATCAATCATTCGCGTCCTAATCCGATGGTACCTAATCACTGGGGTCTTAATCACTATATTCCTAATCACCCCATTCCTAATCGCTAGGGTCCTAATCACCTATTCCTAACCACTGGGGCCCAATCCCTCGCGTCCTAATCACGAGCACATAAATGATTGTAATTATGATGATGACTGTAATGATGGTAATGATATTGATGATAAAGACGGTGTCATTTACCGATAATAATGATAAACTAAGGATAACAAAAACGACAAAAAGGATTAGGATAACGTTGATAAAGATGGTAAGAATGATAACACTAGTGATACCAGTAATGAAAAGGACAATGATAAAAATGATAACAATAATAACATCAACAACTGGAATAACAACAAAAATAACTCACCAACAACAATGATAATAAGAACACCAATAAAATTATTATAATAGTAAAGAATAAACGTGAACACTGGAGGAGGGACAATAAGGCAAAAGATAAGATGATAAACTGATAATGCAAATGAATATAGACGAAAAAAATGTTTGTTTCTTGACCCGCTGATAAAAAAGAAGAAAAAGATAGAATAAGTTAGAATGAAGAAGGATTAGGATTTTAAACATGTATGAATGTATGAATAGACAGATTATCATGTAAGTAAATAGATATATAAGTAATCAAGTAGATGAATAGATAGGTTACTAAATAGATACACAGATAGATAAATAGATAGGTACACTAGTAAGAAAACAAAAGTATAGACAAACAAACAAACAAATAAAAAATAAGAAGGGAAAGATAATTCTTCGACACAAAAAAAAATTAACGAGATACACAATAACAACAAAAAAATCAATTAAAGACTTCCAGGTACCTTTGATATAAACAAAGAAAAAAAAAGTGTTGTGAAATAGACTGTAGAAAGTGGGCGGATAAAAGGAAGGTTTCCTTGTCTCCAAAATACTTTTTATTTTGAGTGTGTTTTTTCCTCTTTATTTTTTTAAGCTGTATCTAACGTCTTTCTTTTTGAAGACGTCGCCACCGAGCTATCAAAGAAACCTCTAAGGAAGCCTCGAGCCTCAAAAGCAAGGAGGAGGAGGAGGGTGACAACGAGTATCTTTAA